TGCACTAATGTAGGATGTCATCCCTTAAAAAGCAACAACTCTCATGCAGGTGATAGTCAGGAAAAATTCTAATATGGGCACGCCATTGTAAAGAAACATTTGTTTGGAGCTCCTTTTACAGCTTAACTTGAGTAACAACATCTTTGCATCTTCATCAGACTTTTGTCTAATCCTCTGTTCAGTGAGCAGTATGCCGGTTTGGAGCAGGCTAGTATCACAGAATAGATCACTATAGTAACTTAGGTGTTACTCCCTCTGTGAAACCAAGTCAAGCCTTAACTAAGCCAGGATACACAGAAAATCCCACCTTATCCCTTATCTACGTTTATTGAAACAGTCCTCTAACAACTTAAATACACTGTGACCTTGGGTGGGGACATTAAAGACTGATTCAAAATCTGTCTTGAATAATGTTTGGAAAGAACGTATAGATACTACAAGGTTTACACATTTTTTTAAATTTAAAATTTAAAAATATTAAAGAAATGTGCACTCATATTGCTCAGGAAAGAGACAGGCTATGTGCAAATTATATGTATGGTTCTTTAGTATGTAATGTGGATATACACCCCAGAACAAGGGCAAAAAACATCCTTGAGGGTACTATCTTAAGCCTTTTAAAAAGGGCTATCAACAGTGAAACAAATCTATTACCAACATGTAAAAGCCACTCTGAGAGGAAGATGTCATTAATCCAAAAGTAATCATGAATCACAGATTGCAGTTAACAAATGTGGATATGGACAAATAGCTTAATTTTGAAAAGGGGGCAGGGAGACTTGCAGGTTTGAGAACAATAAACCAACATTGTGATATGGGTGTAGAAGCATTGTTGGGACATTAAGGTACTAGGGCACTTTAGATAGATGTAATGTGGAAAGAGCAATGGGCAACATGCAACAACATTTTCATATGCTAATTTTAAATGTCTCTAACCTTTTCTACTACATTGGGCTTTTAGGAACGAGCCACATCTGTTCTTAACTTCAGTAAATGTTCTTAAATTAACCTTGTAAACTTGACACAGTACACCTGAGAAAAAGTGAGCACATGTTCCAGACAAATGTAAATCGGCATAATCAATGCCCTAATTATTCCATATAAGGTTATAATTTCCCACAACTCTGTGTATGAACACCTGCATGTTCATTCAAATGAACACCTGCGTGTTCATTCAAATGAACACCTGCGTGTTCATTTGATCCGAAAACAGTCAATAAAAAC